TCCTTCAGGCTTCTGTGAAGCACAAAAACTTGTGCAGAGTCATTAGCTAACTACAGAAGAAAAGCACTGAAATTACACACTAAGGATTGTTAAGAAAATAAAGCTGAAGAAGTTCTTATACAGTCTTTTATTTATGGTCATTTTAGTCGTAACTTAAAACAAGCTAATTAATAAAAATTCTGCCATGTAACATTTTTCCACCGAGTCCACTGCAGCCTGCAATACTCAACTCCAAACATGTATGTGTGTGTTTTGGGAGAGGATTCCAAGCCGTTCCCCATTCAGGCCCTGCAGAACAAAAAAAGGGCAGGCTAACAGCTCTCTTTTATATAAACAACCTCACAAGACCCAACTTGATTTCCAGAAATCTCCTTTCAGCCCTGCCTTCCCTTATTCTCCCCACCTTCCTTCACTGCATTGGTGCTGCTACCAAACTCTGGTACTTGGTACCACAGCAAGTGTCCTTAATGTGCTCATGCAAGAAAGCTCCCTGTTCTCATCAAAACATATTGCTGAGGGGTTAGAGAGCTTAGTAAAAATTGCACTTGCTGTGGAGGAGTCCTATAAAGCAGAGTGAACGTGTATCTTGCCACAGCGAAATACTGCTCGGTAAAGGACCAAGCATTCCTTACTCATCTCTTCAGCTTTTTAAGCAGTTTATGTTTTCTGGAAGGTGTGCTAAACATCCAAGTACTTTCCTGAACTGCCATTGAGGGTTTCTTTAGTGAACAAGTGGCAGAATCTCTTATTTCCAGTACTCTAAAATGCCTTAGGCATCTCTCAGCCCTCCATTTCAGGGGGCTGGCTCTGCTCTTCGATTTTATTTATTTTAAGAGAGGAAAGGTAAATCTTCCATACTGCAGCCCTCTTAGATATATCCCTTAAGTTCCACTTATCAAATACATTTAAAAATCTCCTCTAAAAGTTGCAGCCAGTTCCCCCTCCTGGGTCAGGGCAGCTTTTTGACTTAAAAATGACTTTCTGATCTACGCCCTATTGCACCGCTGGAAGTTGGTTCCTGGTTTGCAAGCAGGAAGCACAAACCCAACACGAGGCAAGTTCAGCAAGTGTGGCTGTTTTCAGCACGTCTCCATCCAACCAATTGTGTTACCCTGAGCTGGAATGGGGATATTCAACGAGGTTCAACCATGGTCCCCTTTAGAAATGCGGGCCTCGACTTCACTGCTCTGCTGGAAATCAGTCACTTCCGAGAAGTGTCACAGCTCTGGTTATGCAATGGCTACTCGAGGTCAGGATTTGCAGTTTCTCCTGCAGAAATTTAAGAGGTGTCACATTTCCGTAACCGTGGTAGAGTCTGGACAAAAACCTACTTGAGATAAACCTCGAGCTGTCTGATTAACCCCCAGTGTCCCTCAAGGCTCTCTCTACACCACTGCTGCCTGTCAGCTTGCTGGCAAGAATACACATATCCATGTGCACACAGACATGTGCGAGGAGCTTATTTCCCATTGATCCCTGAAAACTAAGAGGTAATAATTCCCCTTGCTGGAACTCACGACCACGAAGGGTCAAGAGCCCTTAATAGCAACAAAAGTCCCAATTTTCTTGCCCATCATCCTCAGTAGGAAGACATATAGAATCACAGGATCTCTAATTATCGAATATGCCAAATTTGATTTCTTTGAGCATCAGAACAGACTAAGTCAATCCCAATGGGTGCCACATTAATCCCGACTTATTTCCAGCAAACCTATATTTTAATTTATACAGCACACTCAGTACTCCCATTTTAAAACCTCTTTTCTTTCCAACTTTCTATACACATTCCCAAAAAAACAGCAGTCTGCAACCAGGACAAGTTTAACTGTATACCATCTTACAGGGTGGTTTTAGTTTATCATGGCAAGATAGTGGCCTTCCAATGAAAGGGAGGGCTCTTATATGTATATGTAATACATATAACTAATATGCATGTGTAACATATATGAGTGGTTAGAACACTTTATAAGGTATTTTATATTTCTCCCTGTTCCTTTATGATAGGAGTCAAATCTACCAACACAGCTCTAGGGGTGATAATGGAAAATAAATAGTCCTAATAAGTGTTATAATTGGAGGCTTTAAAATTATCTAAAGTGGGGCAGCGATACAGTCAGGGAAGACAACAACTATACTGGAACATTTTCTTACAGCAGCAGGCAGGTATTAGGCAGCCAACTAGCAATACTTACAGTGCAAGGCTTAAGTCCCTCAAAGAGTTTTCAGCCCTGTACAGCTGCGAGAGAAGAAAACTGCTTTTTAAACCACATTTTAACACTTCTGACGGTAGTAGCACAGAACAAAGTTTAGGAATCCCTTGTATAAGCATCTATGTGCACAGCATTTTATTTAGGTATGGTTACACAGACCAGATCTAAAGGCATATACACACCAGGCTCCTGTTCAGCAGCACTCAAAGCACGTTCACAGGCTTTAAAGCACCAGCATATGCAAATAGAGATGTCAAGGTCAAAAAAAAAGTAGTAAAAACACAATAGCATACACAGATTTCCTGTCATTTCCTTCACTTTCCAGACCTCTGTCAAACCAAACTTTCAAAAGCAGCAGCTTCTAGCCATCCTGCCTTTTAAAAGAGATTCATATTTTTTTTCTCATTACATTAGACCATCTAAACATAAGAAAATGATTTTTTAAACTGTGAAGGTGGTTTAACAGTGAAACTGGTTGCCACAGAGGTTGGGGAGTCTCCATCCTGGGACCTGCTCTAGGTGCCCTGGCTCTGACCATCTCTGCAGGTTCCTTCCAACCTCAGCTATTTTTGTGCTGGGTTTGAGATACAGCAGCTGAGGGATTAACTGCTCTGTGTGTTAGCTGCACTTAGCAGATAAGACTTTAAAGATGAAGTTTGCTTTAAGAACAACTTGTAAAATCTTCTAGGACCTCTCCATGGAAAAGAAACTGTAAAGTTTAAGTAGTAGACCAAGAATATCATTTCCTATAAGAAAGGGTAAGAAATATTAAACTATTTGGATTTTTTCCTAGACAATTTCAGTATGCCTGAAATTATGCCTTCAGTAGTGCACTATGAGATCAAGGACCAAGGCCAAGAAAGAGTCAGCTGTGACTCACTAATTATCACATTTACACATCAGACATTAGCAAAACCGAAGCAGGGTTACTTCTAAGTGCCCACAGACAAGATCCAGCTGAATTTACCAAAGGAAACAAGTCTTCCCCTGCTCCCCAAGTACTATGCAACCGCTCTCATTCAATTTCATCTACAGGCCAAGCAAGTAAGTCTCAACTGGTCCCCAAAACTTCCACTTAATTCCTTAAAGATGCTATAAAGAAGAACTTGGATACATCCTCCTTGCTGCTGTGAAGCCTTAAAACACTGAAAAAATACTGTGCTATGATGCAAATTCCAAGTAATAAGGGACGGGTGACAGAAGGGAGAGCGCGGCTAGTGACATCTATTGTTCATCCATAAAAATGGCACCAAGAAGAAGAAAATAATATTCTGCAAAACTGAAAATAAACAAGTATTATTTACTACCAAACTGAACTCTGAAGCTAAATTAGCACCAATTAATACCTACTCTTCAAGCTGAAACGTTGCCTTTATACAAATGCATCTTTGATCCTGTCCATTTCCACAATCCACCGAGTTTCTTGGAATTATACTTCCATTCGCCTGTCCCTTGCAGACAGTGCACTTTAAAGTGCACAGCACTTTAAAAGCACTTGGTTAGAAAACAAGTTTACTTAGTGTGCTCATCAGTGACAAGTGCCTGCTGGAGTCAAGCTGTGGTGTAGAGCATTTCTACCCCTATACAAAGCCTGCTGCCTTACTACAAGTCACTCTGCCAAGACTTAGGGTGAATATTTGCCTTCTTTGTACCTTAGTGACATAGCTGAATATCCCAATATTTCTTAAAATCCTTAAGATGCTCCCACACACAGACTCACACAGTGAGAAGGTGGCATCTGGGCTGCTACTCCTGCTGCCACTTGCACAGTTATTTAAAAGCTGCCTCAGAACAAGGCACCCACCTCTTGCCCTGGGCCTGGCTCAACAACACACAAACCTTTGTTTTTCCAAAGGCACTTGCCTTTTGACAACAGCTCTCAGGAATCTAAAAATCTTCTCTTACAAGAAAAATAACTTCACTGTTGCAAGAAAACATAGATTTCTCCCCAAACAGCCACTTAAAAGTTCTTGTGGAAACACTGCACAACATACTCGTTCCCGAGCTTTTAACCAAAACTGGCATTTGGTTCAAAATGGAAAAATCCAACTACAGTTAGGTTATCCTCAGCATACTTGAAGTGACTAAAACCCATTGTAATTCCAGTATTTACTTATAAAACAGCATTTTGTAGACAGCTACGGAGTGTTTTGTATTAATAGGCAATAAACAGATGCACGAGCAAAATCACCAACACATCAAGGACTGATGCCAGCAGCTCTTATGAACATTCAGCTTGAAGCTTGCTCACCTTCAGGTTGGTGCTTACCACATGTCTGATTCTGGAGCAGTGTTGTTAAGTTAAAGACAAGTGTACAGTTATTAACAGAGCCTTTTTCCCCTGCTTCCTATATCTGGAGAACAGACAAAATGCTGCTGGGAGTCAAAGTCCATGTCATTACATGGAGCTTCTGGGCCCACAGCACCAGCTCAGTTCCACACATTAATGATGACTATTACTGGAGATAGCATTTCAAACATACTATTTCAAAGGGTTATAAACTATAACCAAAGCTATTTATGTATTTGTAGACACTACCAATAAGGACACACAGATCCTGGGCTAGGTCACCTTCCCTACTACCACGAGCATTTGTAGGCAACAACTGCCCATCTTTCCATCTCCATTACTTCATTCCATTGTCAAAATACACAAGCATAAAGTGCTTGGACCTCACAAAAGACCAATCCAGGCTCCACAATCACCCGATACCAAAACAGTGCTGGTAGTAACCAGTAAAGCACTACCTGCTGTCCCATCAACACACGAAAGAAAAGACTAGAACTTACCTGCTGGCAAAGAAAGTCTTGGAATACCTGAAAGAAAACAAATAAAAATGCAATTAGAAACAGGAGGAAAAATAGTTTTAAAATTGCATTAGCCTAATCCCCTTTCTGCAAGGTCGTACTTGTTTGCTGATGAACCAGTTTGCTAGCTGCCAGGCACGCCACGTGCCAATCCAGAGCAGCTTCCTCTTCATTATCAAAGTTCTGCCAGTCTTAACTAGAGGATAAAGATTATACTGCCAGGCAATATATATGTAATTATCAATGCAGAATGCAGGTCACTACACTGCTAGCACATACAGATTTTGTCAACAGCATCCACATAATTTTAGAGCTGAAGCTGTCAGGTTAGTCTTCACCTCCTCATAAGAACATGACCCTCATTAAAGTTCTAAGTAGAGATAGAGCAGATTTCAAATGGGTAAGTTCAAAAGAGAGAAGTAAAAATGAAAGAAAGGAGACCTATCCTTGCAAAACTGGCATACTTAAACACCAAGTATGTCTTGAGATGCAGCATGGTAGGAGCCTCCATGAGGAACCAAAACCATCAGTTTCAAAGTCAAAGTAGATCATACTAAAAATTAAATCCTACAGAATAGCAGACAGCAATGTAGATACATTAAATTTCCCCAAAATAGTAAGGCTTATTATATTCCTTGTCTTTATATCATATAAAACCCGATATAAAAAATATTTTTTTCTTCAAGTTATAGCTTGATACATTCCTTCTGATAAACATAATCTTAGCTAGGGCTTGAGAATTCAGAACAAACACCAAAGCCCATAAAGACCTTGAAATCAAGGTTTACTAAAATTCAGTAACAAGCAGGATACAGAGTAATAAAGTGATGGAAAGTTAGAATATAAAAAAAAAGAAAATAAGAAAGCTAAAATACAAGAGGTCCAAGAGGAGTAACATATTTAGTTAGATTTAGAAAACCAGACCGACACTCAAAAGCAAAGCTGAGCGGCAAAAACTGATCTGTGGGATATTAATTCATGTGAACTCTGAACTTTATCCCTACGCTGGAGAACTGAAACAGCTTCAGAGAGTGTCAGGGCAGATGGTCACTACTTTGTCACTTACTGGGAGGGGGAAGGAGGCTTAATAAATTCAGTGCTGAGACACACTAAATGTCAGGCTTGGCTTCATTATATTCCATTTCTGTGTCTGCAAAGCATGAAGGAACTTGAATACTGAACAGAATCACACACAAAATAAATCAACCTCCACAAAGGCAGCCTCCAACAAATTCAAAATTAAACTTTAGCGTTTGTTCGGATCAAACAACTGCCCTGCAGTGGCAAAACACAAAGTTTAAACACACTTCAAAAATGCAAAAATGAACAGAGCACCGAGTCTCCTCAAGCAACAGAAAATATTGCACGCTTTATTCTCACAAAAGCAAAGTTTGCAAAGGTAATAAGTTACATTTATAAAAGCAGAAGCTCACCATGCTGCCTTCTACAAGCAAACCCGGCTTGAGTACTAAGAAAATCCAGGGGATGGTCGAAACAATAAACAGACAGGAAGATGATGCATAAACTGCCTCAACTGCAGGAAGGAAAAGCCTCAAGTTGTCTCCGGCAATAGTTTCGGCAGCGAGTACAGAGCTGGGTGTATTTATGGAAAAGATTTTTGTGCTGGCAGGAAAAGGCTGTAGTAACAGTTAACTTGCAAAGTTAACTGAATTAAGAACAACGCAAAGTCCTTCTCTCGGCTTGCGTGTTCTCCAGGGCTTTCCCTGCTTGTTACAAGGACATACAATAACAACAACTTGATCCACTTGAATTAAAAATAAAATAAAATAAAATGAAATTGCACAGTAAAAAAAATTGTGGCTGATTTTAGTTTTTCTACTACGATAGAAACTAACCTGTAACTTGAGGAGGAATTGCTCACGTTTTGGCGCTCGTGCCTGGCCCCCGAGTTGTTGCTTTCTCAGTGATTTCTTTCCAAATAGGCACCTGCTTCACCTAAATCCCTTTAGCTTCTCTGGGACCTACACAAGTGGGTACCGACAAGATCAGCATGTTGCTATATTTAACCAACAACTGTAATGATTTATTACTTCCAATTAGTTTCGTAAGTGCATTAAGTGAAGAGATGCTCCACCTCTGGGACAGGGAAACTTAATGCAGTTTCCTGCTCCTCGCATACAACCGAGGATAAGACAGACTCTTTCCTACAATGAATTCACACACTCTAGATTTAAGAGCAAGAAGGACAAAAGAAAGTGAAGCCTGAAGGTCACCTCGGCCTATTCAAAATTGCAGAAATGCTCTCAGCAAGTTGCCTGCATTGTATTTTTCAAGGATTTCCATTAAGCAGAAGGCCTTTTATAAGCTAATGCAACTGCAAAAAACACCAGTCACTACAGAACACTAACTCAGAATACTAAAATAATTTCTAATGCTTTATGTCATGATTCCAAGGTAAAAATCACCATTTCTGGGTGTTTGTGTTCAACATTTGTGTATCCAGATATTACTACAATGAATGAGTGCTCACTAATCTTCATGCATTTTTTCAGTCGCAAAATTACCTCAATTGTAAGGACTGACTCCCCTAGTATTTCTCACACTTGGGTCTATGATGTTTTCCCCCCAAGTCTCTCATCTTTTCTGGCTTGAAGCTTCTTAGTGTTACTCTCTAAATATTATTTTTATTAAAATTAAGAAGAAAGCCAAATAATTTACTATCTAGTGCCAAAACAATATTAGCAGATTCTGGCAACATTTTAAACATTTTGTGCATTGACACATGCATTTAAGCTAACTCATTGCAAATTACAGATTTACATACCTGCCTTTATTATACAAAGCCATCATAGTTTGTATACCTCAAGGTAGAATTAAAAACTGATCACGCTTCCATTTCATTTTCTTTCTACCGATCCTTTCCAGATCATGTTCAACGCTTCACTTTACTACTAAAGGAGGAAGCAAACTGCTACTTCTTAGGAAAAAATATATAACTTTTGGACAATTTTTTTTTTATTAATACGCATTTTGCATATTGCAGCTTTTCCTTAAATGCTTTCTTGGAAGTACAGCCACATTTTAATATTGTGCTTTCCAATTAACACGTAATTATCAAAACCAGGAATGCTTTGGGGGCTTTGTGTTCCTCCCTCAAGGTAAAACAAGACCATGTGCAGCACAGCAAATCCTCCAACCCAGTGAGGGGGATCCCAGCCACAAGGCACAGGGCAGCTTTCCAGGACCAATGCAGCTGCCTTGCCAAGCCTCAGGCAAGCTCGGCGTTGCCAGCAGGTCAAGGGAGGGGATCCTGATCCTACCCTTCTCCTCAACTCTGGTGAGGCTGCACCTGGAGTATTAGGGGCAGTTCTGGGCTCATCAGTACAACAGAGATGTGGAACTTCTAGAGAGGGTCCAGTGGAGAGCAACAAGGATGATTAAAGGAATGGAACATTCCTCGTATGAGGAAAGAGCGAGTTGGACCTGTTTAGCCTGGAGAAGAGAAGACTGAGAGGGGATCTGATTAACATGTACAAATACCTGAGGGGAGAATGTAGGGAGGAGGGGACCAAACACTTCTCAGTGGTGGCCAGTGACAGGACAAGGAGCAAAGGGGATAAAGCTGAAACACAGGCAGTTCCATCTCCATGTGAGGAGGAACTTCTTCACTGTTCCAGAGCCCTGGAACAGGCTGCCCAGGGGAAGCTGTGGAGTCTCCTTCTCTGGAGGTCTTCAGAACCCACCTGGATGCCACCCTATGCCTCATGCTCTGTGTGTCCCTGCTGGAGCCATGGGGTTGGACGAGATGATCTGAAGATCATCTTCGAACCTCAACCATTGTGTGATTCCATGAAAAGCAGGGCCTGCTCTATACCCCTCGAAAGCTGGAGCTGCAGGCAAGTATTTCAAAAAACCACCAACTCAGAGCTGCCTGTTGTTGTTGTTGTTGTTAAATCTCCCCAGCATTTCTCCCAACGGATTTGGTGACAGGCAGACATTCTGCCTCTTTCCCAGATGGACTTTATAGCTCCTGTGCTAAAATCAAGATTATCACAGCGTGCCACTAAAGCTCTTTTGCAATCCAAGGTATGACAGGAACTCAGCACAGAGATATTTCGAGATAAAAATAAATTCCAGGTACTTAACAAGGTAGAAGCCTTATCCTTCAAAAAAAAAAAAAAAAAAAACACCCAAACAAACAAACAAAAAAAGCACCTCCCCCCTCCGCCCAAGGATATAACCAAGACTGGGAATTCGGGAATTAAGAAAGTAGTTCAGGCTTAGGTATTTGAAATAAAGCACAATTGGGCTATGGATCCCAGTGCACAACGTAGAAAAAAGCTGCTTTCTTGTTTTTGAAGAATAAATTGTTCAGAAGGTTTACACGAAGACTAAGGAAAACAGACTCCCACACTCCTTTAAGCACCCAGTGGTTTCAGTAAATCCTATGCTTCTTTCCAAGGACATGGATTTACCATGACAGTTTGAAGGTACAGGACACCTCAAAGTACCTTTCTGATGCAAATCTTTAAAATAATTTTCTTAAAAAAAAAAGTACACAAACTGTATTTAAGCCAGAAGGACATGGATCCTATCACAGGGTCTTCAATAAGACTTTGGATGTCACAAATATTAAGACAACAGAAACAAGGAAAGAGCCAAAGGGCAGTTAGGAGGCAGAACACTATGCAGGACAAGTTCAATATTTATTTCTGATACTTCTGCCTTAGTGATTAATGATTACCCATATGCATGAGCCCATTCAGAGTCTTCAGTATCGCATTATTAAGATTCTATCAGTCTTGAAATGTAATTTAAGAGAGTATTTTCCTCCTTAACGCGCTGTTCTATTTAATCAATTTAATGCACAGTAAAAAACTTAATTTGACAAAATTGAATACATTACTTCTCTCTGCCTCTGGCATAAAATAGATTAAGACCAACCAGAAATACTTATGGAAAGATTTAGGATTCATTACATCCTAGGCAGCAGATAAATGTCAGACTTGCTGTAACCTCTGTGTTCTGCAGACTTAAGACTGTGTATT